CCCTCTGCCTACTCCTTTCCTGTCCTGGAGGGCGTTGGAAGCTGGGAATCAGGAAAAGGATCAATGTAAAGGGAAATTTTTGTTCTCAGAAGTTCATCTTCTACAAGGCAAACAGGTCCTGCTGATTGACTCGTGGTTTACCAGAAAGCAGCCCTGCTGTAACAAGTCTTAGCAAGTGGTGATCTAGCCTGCGAGAGCCTGAAGGAGATTGATGTCTGTTGGGTTACATGAACAGCCTCCAGTTGGCCAAAGAACAGCCAGAGAGCAAGCTACAGAAACTTATTGCCTTTGTTAGTAGAAGAGCTAGGAAAGGCTGAAATCCTGTTTTAGGAAGGTGAAAAAACAAGTAAGGCATGTGGACTGTGATATTTCTGATGATTCTTTGGTGCATTCTCTGGAGCAAGAAGAGGAAATCACATGGGGAAATATGGGAGAAGGTAAAAAAGTGGAAGATGAGGTGAAATTGTACAGAACATGCCATGAGAAGAGAATGGAGAAAGCTGTAAAGTACGTGAGGAGAAAAATGCAGGAATTGCTGACAATGTGGAGAACAAAAATGAGATTTGGAGAGAGGCAAAAAGCTTCCTTAGAACTAAAGCTAACAGGAAACTTTTACATGAAAAAGTCTCAGAGAGACTTACTAACAATCACTAAAAATTGAAGAAACCCCTCAGAGGCTGTGTGAGAGAGAGAAAGCGAAGTATTCCAGACTTAAGCATACATTTACCTTAGCTATGTTAAAAACTCCATGAGGCGGTTGGTCAGACTTGCAATCAACAGTGTGAGGGGAAGGTTTGTCTTTTAGACAAAGGTCTAGAGTCAATGAGGCAAAAGCCTTGAAACCCAGATCTGTTTCTGGAGTGGAACTTACATAAACCACTCTGAAATTTTGCTTGAATAACACCAGAGTAGTTCATCAACTGGATTACATCAGCTCCCAGGATAGCCTCTTACAAGGAATCAGAAAATGGACTAATTGTACAACATAAAGATCTGTATTCAGATGGGGCAGTGTCTCTTTGTTTTAATAATTTTAATGTGAATGCTTGCAAAGTGTAAATTTGTCCTTTTCCCCAATAAGAAGGTAAGGCTGAAACTTTTGTCTTCCTTTACTTGCCCACATCCTGCCAACAGTCCTTTGAGTCTTTCCTAATAGGAAAGCTATTTTGAGTCACTTGATGATTAGCCTGAATGTGAACTTTAAATTAAAAACAGCAGCTACAATTAATGGAGCCCGCAGTATCTTCTGCAGGCTGCAAAGACCAGTAGTGGGAAGAGTGGTGGCTTGTCAAGCCTGCTAAATAAAGATGGCCAGTTTCCAGCTCTCAAAAGGAGGAGACGATGGATGAGAGATGGGTCAGGAAACAATCTCATACAAACAAGACTCCCTTAGGAACAGCCAGCACAAGCTGCCAGTGTGCATGAAATGCTTGGATAGGATTTTCCTTCATTTGAGAACAGGCCGTTTAAACTGCAGATGACATGTTTTCCTTATTTTACTCTTCTCATGTGGAAGCAGATTTTTCAAATAATGTATGGGAGACAAGTGGAAGTCCCATTCAGAATCAGTGGTATCCATGTTCCCATATCAAAAGCAAATCTGCCTGTTACCAGTGCTTTTATGAAAGCTCGGGGGACAGGGCAAAGCTCAGGTTCA